GGGTGTTTTAATTTATCAATTTTGATTAGATCAAAATAATATTTCACGTCGTTAGGCATCGTGGTCGGGAACCTAATGGGTCACACACAAAAGAGAATTGGAAGATTGCAAATTGCCAATTAGTTAATTTAACAATCGTTGGATAAATTAATTAATTGGATTTGTTATTTATATTTTCGAATTAATTAATTGGATTAATTAATTCACGGACCGGGTTTAATTAATTGGATTAATTAATTATTGGACCGGACCGGGCCGAGCCTATTTGGGTTTATATAAATATATAACTAGGGTTTGAGGTCCATTAAGGTTTTCATTATTCTTGCTAGCACAAGAGAAAACCCTAGAGGCTGCAATCATATTCTCTGTGTGGATCACCGTTGGAGGCTGGACAATTGGACAGCTGTGGTGGCAAATCAAGATTGATTGAACGAAAAGAAAAGCAAAAGATTGCAGATCTGACAAAAGGTACAATCCTATCACAATTCCTAACCAAACACAATGAGATCTATTGGATGGGAATCGAAATATATTTTAAATTCCGCTGTGCATGTATAAGTAGATTCCCAACAAAGTTGGCGACAAAGGGGATTCACCCTCGAAGCTAAAGTAATCTTCAATGATGACTGCTTCTTAAGTATCATATGTGAGAAAAGGAAATTGTTAAGAAAGTAATAGACTGGAAACTGGGAAAAATACACTCTAATAAAACCCCAAAACCCCACCATAAATGGGGGGGGGGGACCAAGATTTGCTCTTTTTCAGGATGGGAATCGAAATATATTTTAAATTCCGCTGTGCATGTATAAGTAGATTCCCAACAAAGTTGGCGACAAAGGGGATTCACCCTCGAAGCTAAAGTAATCTTCAATGATGACTGCTTCTTAAGTATCATATGTGAGAAAAGGAAATTGTTAAGAAAGTAATAGACTGGAAACTGGGAAAAATACACTCTAATAAAACCCCAAAACCCCACCATAAATGGGGGGGGGGGACCAAGATTTGCTCTTTTTCACTATCAACTCACCTATGGCAACAAATTACTCAACCACCAAGCTTTATGTTGCAATCTTTTACTAAACCTCATAGACCAACGAAAAATTTCTCTTTATTAATCAACAATCGAGTAATAGTTCAAGATCCAAAATTTTGTTTTATCATTAATCCAATCCTGTTAATTTTTTTTTTCCCTTATCAATCTCAAGTGTTATCCCACTCTTCATTTGTGGAAGTTTGATATAAAGTGGGTGAAGCCAGGATAACATGACCTAAGCACTGTCCAAGAATTTTTGTAAATTAGATCAGGGTCTGCGTCGGAATTAGTCTGTGCTAAACTGTTGAGTAGTAAACTTGATTTTGGACTAAATAATATAGGTTTAAGGATTTTGCTTATAGACCCAAATCAATTAAAAGGCCCAACATGCCTAGCATTTCTAGAAAATTATCTAAAAAAATCTATATAAATATCAACTAAAAAAATCTATGTAAATATCTAAGTAAGATATGTGGTTTTATAAAGAATATCTTGAGAATTCTAGGAAAATATCTTAATGTGTGGTCTAGGTGTCTTTAGAAAATGTGTAGACTATAATCTTCATGTAAAAACTATATAAAGAGGTAGTGCCTTCCATTTTGTAATAAGCCAAAAAGTGTGTAAAATCTTAAAGTTAAGAAATACAAGTTTCCTTTTTCACTTCCTTCTTCCCATTAGTGTTGTCCTCTTAAAAGCCTTATCCAATTCAAGTTAGTAAACTCATCTTTCCTCCAACAAACTGGTATCAGAGCCCTAAGGTTCTTGTGAAAAATGGCAAGTGGGATGATTCCTTTTCAAGTCCTCCAACTCAACAAGGATAACTACAACAATTGGAGCATAAGGATGAAAGCATTGCTCGGGTCGCAAGATGCATGGGAGATCGTAGAGAAAGGCTACATGGAGCCACAAGACGAGTTTGCTCTATCCCAAGCACAAAGGGATAGTTTGAAGGATGCAAGGAAGAAGGACAAGAAGGAGCTCACCCTCATATATCAAGCCTTAGATGAAGGCATGTTCGAAAAAGTAGCTTGTGCTACTACGAGTAAGGAAGTATGGGAGATCTTGCAAAACTTCCACAAAGGAGTTGAGAAGGTGAAAAAGGTTCGACTTCAAACACTTCGAGGTGAGTTTGAAGCTTTACATATGAAAGAATCGGAATCAATTTCTGATTACTTCTCTAGAGTATTAGCTATTGTGAATCAATTAAAAAGGAATGGAGAAAAGTTGAACGACACTTGAGTAATTGAGAAGATACTTAGGTCTTTAGATTCTAAGTTTGACTACATAGTTGTAGCCATTGAGGAATCTAAAGATCTAGATAGTATGAGTGTCGATCAACTCATGGGATCTTTACAAGCCCATGAGGAAAGACTAAGGAAGAAGGTGAAAGAAGACCTATTAGAGCAAGCTCTTCAAACAAAGCTCCCTTTGAATGAGGGTGAAGGAAGGTTCGATAGTAGAAGAAGCCAAAGAGAAAGAGGACGAGGCCAAGATCGAGGAAGAATTGCATTCTACAAGGAGGAAAGAAGATAAAGTTCATTTTCTACCAGAGGTCGTGGAAGAGGAAAATGGACGAGGCAAAATGAAGGACCAAAGTATGACAAATCTCAAATTAAATGTTACAATTGTCAAAAACTTGGTCATTATGCTTCAGAATGTAGAAATATTACTAACCAAGTTGAGGAGAAAGCTAACGACGCTTATCAGGAAAGTGAAGTAGATCCTGTACTACTGTTGGCTTACAAAGGTGAAGAGAGCAGAGAAAAGAATACTTGATATTTGGATACAGGAACAAACAACCATATGTGTGGAAGAAAAAACATGTTTTTGGAGCTTGATGAATCAGTAAGCGACAACATTACCTTTGGAGATGAATCCAAGATCTCAGTGAAAGGAAAAGGTAAAATCTTGATCCTCTTGAAAAATGGTACGCATCAATTTATCTCAAATGTCTATTATGTGCCCAATATGAAGAATAAAATTTTAAGTTTGGGACGACTCTTAGAGAAGGGTTATGATATTCATTTGAAAGATCTTAGTCTTTCAATAAGAGATCAAAGAGAAAATTTGATTGCCAAAGTCCCTATGACAATAAATAGAATGTTTGCGTTAAGCATTCAAAATGATGTCGCTAAATGCTTAAAAGCTTGTTTTAAAGATTCATCTTGACTTTGGCACTTGAGATTTGTGCATCTTAATTTTGGAGGCTTAAAGTTGTTGAGTAGGAAGAAAATGGTGAAAGGTTTGCCTCCAATAAATTATGTGGATCAATTATGTGAAAGATGCTTACTTAGAAAGAATTCGAGGAAAAGTTTTCCAAAAGAAGCATTTACAAGAGCTAAGAAGCCGCTAGAACTTGTACACTTCGATATTTGTGGGCCAATTAATCCAAGCTCTCTCGGTAAGAGCAATTATTTTGTTCTTTTTATTGATGATTTCAGTAGAAAGACTTGGGTCTATTTTCTCAAACAAAAATTGGAAGTTTTTGAAACTTTTAAGAAGTTTAAAGCTCTCGTTGAAAAAAAAAGCGGATATAGTATAAAAGTCTTGAGATCGGATAGAGAAAGAGAGTTCACCTCCAAAAAGTTTGAGAAATATTGTGAGGAGAATGTAATTCGTCGCCCGTTGACAGTTCCATACTCTCTACAACAAAGTGGAGTAGCCGAAAGAAAGAACAGATCCATTCTTAACATGGCCCGCTGCATGCTCAAAAGTAAGAGATTGCCCAAAGAACTTTGGGCTGAAGCTGTTAATTGCGCCGTGTATCTGTCTAATTGATTGCCTTCTAGAAGTGTGTGGAATAAGACACCACAAGAAGCATGGAGTGGAAGAAAGCCCAGCATCTCTCACTTACGAGTATTTGGGAGCATTGCATATGCTCATGTGCCAGATCAAAAAAGATCCAAGCTAGATGACAGGAGTGAAAGGTATGTTTTTATCGGTTATGACTCTCGCTCTAAAGGCTACAAGTTGTATAATCCAAGCAATGAGAAGATCACTATAAGTAGAGATGTTGAGTTTGATGAAGAAGGAGATTGGGATTGGGGTGTCCAAGAAGAAGACTATGACTTCTTACCATTCTTTGATGAAGAAGAACAAGAGAATGGAGAGCAGCAAGAGATTATCAGTCCACTCTATCACCCACCCATGGAGATGCTTCTCCATCATCTTCACAAGGAGAAAGTTCAAGCGAAAGGATACCATGGATGAGGAGCCTACAAGAGCTATATGAGGTAACAGAAAATCAAAATGATCTCACACTTTTTTATCTTTTTGGCGATTGTGAACCAATAGGGTATGAAAAAGCGGCGCAAAATAAAAGATGAAAAGATGCTATGGATGAAGAGATTAAGGCTATAGAGAAAAATGACACGTGTTAGCTGACAACTCTTTCCAAAGGAAAGAGAGCAATCGGAGTTAAGTGGGTGTACAAGGCAAAGAAGAATGCTAAAGGAGACATAGGAAGATACAAAGCAAGATTGGTTGCCAAAGGCTACAACCAACGGTCGGGAATTGATTATGAAGAGGTATTTGCTCCTGTTGCTCGTTTAGAAACCATAAGATTAATTATCTCTTTTGCAGCGCAAAATAAGTGGAAGATAATCCAAATGGACGTGAAATCGGCATTTCTAAATGGCTATCTCGAAGAAAAAATTTATGTGGAGTAACCAATGGGCTATAAAATAAAAGGACATGAAGGTAAAGTCCTGAAACTAAAAAAGGCTTTATATGGGTTGAAACAGACTCCAAGGGCATGGAATAGTAGAATTGACAAGTATTTTCTAGAAAATGACTTTACAAAATGCCCTCACGAGTATGCCCTTTATACAAAGGTAAATGAGAAATGAGATATTTTGCTTGCTTGTTTGTATGTAGATGATCTTATATTCACAGGAAATAATCAAAGCATGATCACTGAGTTTAAGAAGGTCATGGCTCAAGAATTTGAGATGACGGATATTGGCCTCATGGCTTACTATCTTGGGATAGAGGTAAAGCAAATGGAAGATTGCATTTTCATCTCACAAGAAGGATATGCGAAAGAAATTCTAAAGAAATTCAATATGGAGGATGCACCCCCGTCGAATGCGAAATCAAGTTGTCGAAGAATGATGAAGGTGAAAAAGTAAATCCAATACTTTTTAAGAGTCTTGTTGGAAGTCTAAGATATTTGATGTGCACAAGACCAGATATCCTTTTTGGAGTTGGGCTCATCAGTCGCTATATGGAGACACCTACCATGACCCATATGAAAACTGCAAAGAGAATTCTTCGCTACATCAAAGGTACGCTTGATTATGGCTTAGTCTATTTATCATCTAATGAGTTCAAACTTGTTGGATATAGTGACAACGATTGGGGCGGAGATAGTGATGATAGAAAGAGTACGATTGGGTATGTGTTTTACTTGGGCGACACAGCTTTCACTTGGAGCTCAAAGAAACAATCAATCGTAGCACTCTCTACATGTGAAGTTGAATATGTTGCAGCTACGTCAAGTGTCTGCCATGCGATTTGGCTTAGAAACTTGTTGAAGACACTTGAAGTATCACAAGAAGAGTCGATTGAAATCCATGTTGATAACAAATCGGCATTGGGATTGGCAAAGAACCCAGTATTCCATGATAGAAGCAAGCACATTGATACAAGATATCACTTCATAACAGAAAGCATTGCAAAGAAAGAAGTGCAGTTGAAATATGTAACTTCCCATGAGCAGATCGCCGACATTCTCACTAAGCCACTCAAGCATGATGTGTTCCACAAGTTAAGAACTCTACTTGGAGTAGCAAAATCAAGTTTAAGGGGGGATGTTGAGTAGTAAACTTGATTTTGGACTAAATAATATAGGCTTAAAGATTTTGCTTATAGACCCAAATAAATTAAAAGGCCCAATATGCCTAACATTTTTAGAAACATTATCTAGAAAAATTTATATAAATATCTACTAGAAAAATCTATGTAAATATCTAAGTAAGATATGTGGTTTTATAAAGAATATCTAGAGAATTCTAGGAAAATATCTTGATGTGTGGTCTAGGTATCTCTAGAAAATGTGTGGACTAGAATCTTTATGTAAACACTATATAAAGGGGTAGTGCCTTCTATTTTGTAATAAGCCAAAAAGTGTGTAAAATCTTAAAGTTGAAAAATACAAGTTTCCTTTTTCACTTCCTTCTTCTTATTAGTGTTGTCCTCTTAAAAGTCTTAGCCAATCCAAGTTAGTAAACTCATCTTTCCTCCAACATAAACGTGAACTAAAGCTTCACACCTCTGGTGGATGTTACAGAAGATTGTTGAGATTTTGTAGATATTTTTGCAGTAGCTAAAATCCTGTAATTTAAGGATAATCCCTTAAATTAAGGATTATTATTTTTCCTTATTTTTTGGTATAATTAGTTTCCTGATTTACTAGGTTTATACTTTATAAATTGTAATCTTCCCATTCAATGATTTGAATGAAAGAAATACCATTCACAATTCGGTATCAGAGCCGCCGATTGAATCTTGAAAATTCATTCGAACTGCATATTGAAACATTGAAAAGGTCAAAATTTTTTTTTTCTTCCACAAATCTGCCATATTCCAGCAAAGGTTCTTGCTTCTTGGAGACGTGAAGAAATTGGTGACCTTAAATCCTGCCACCTATATTCTATTGTTATCCTGCTGGTATGAATTGGTGACCTTAAATCCTGCCATCTATATTCTACTGTCATCCTGCCAGTGAAGCCCACGTGAAGGCAGTTGTCCAGTTAATCCATTTTTATATTGAGCAGGCTGTTTTTCACGCTTTCGTTTTTTAATTGTCATTAACCAAAATGAGTGAGAAGAATACTGAATCGCCTATCACAGGTCAATATGAAGCTGTTTTCAATGCAGGTATTATTTTAACTGAATCAAATTATGATGTTTGGTCCCAATTGATGGAGATGCATATTGCTGAAAGGGGAAAATTGTCCTATATTCGTGGTAAGAAGAAAGTTCCGGTAGAAACAGATGATGAATATGAAAAATGGTATGCTGAAAATCAGAAAGTGAAGAGGTGGTTGTTGATGTCCATGACTCTAGACATTATGAAGCATTACTTACGTTTACCCACCGCCCATGAAATATGGAGTGCACTGTCGAAAGCCTTTTATGGTGGAAGTGATGAGTTGCAAATTTTCACTTTAAATCAAAAGGCCTTCACCGCCAAACAAAGTGGAAAATCTTTATCTGAATATTATGGAGAACTTACTGAAGTGTTTAGAGAATTGGATCATCGTGATAAAGTAGTAATGAAGGATCTCGAAGACATTGCAGCATACCGAAAGTCCGTTGAATGACTTAGGGTGCACATTTTTCTTGCTGGATTGGATGGTGATTTTGAACAAGTTCGTGGAGAGATTCTACGTAGAGAACTAATTCCAGATTTAGAAGAATGCTACTCTTTCGTTCGCAAAGAAGCAGTTCCTCAAGCAACTATAGGAGACACTAGAAATTCAGAAGCTTCCGCTATGGTGGCTCGAAACCGATCTACTTCAAATTGGCAGGATTGAACTACAGCTAACCATCCTAAGACCACGACTGGTGATGTCAAGTCCACCTATAAATGCACCCATTGCAATCAAATTGGACATACCAAAAGTTGATGTTACGAACTTGTAGGATATCCAGAATGGTAGGATCATAGTCGTGCTCCAAAGAAGACATATTCAAGGAAGATTTCCATTGGAGCAGTTGCAGAAGCAAAGCCAGAAGATGATATCACTGAAAAGGCTTCGGCATTGATCATA